GCTCACTCACTCACACACACACACACACACACACACACACACACACACACACACACACACACACACACACACACACACACACACACACACACACACACACACACACACACATTGTCGGCTCTGCCCTCCCTGCGACCAAGGGCTGATTGCTCGGTGCCGTCAAGACCATGCGCCTCACGCCCTGCCGACTAGCGCAGGGCGTCGGCCTCGTGATACTCGCCCTCTCCTTGTTCTTTTTCATCACCATTCTCAATAATCCCCAGACTCAAGTTTCCCGCCCGAGACCGCCGGCATGGCTTGGCTGCGCTGATCTGGCCGCTCGCATCTCCGATCAACAACCCTGGCAAATGGGCGGCGTTAAAAGCATCGCAAGGTCTCAATCCGCCCCTGCCGTGGCCCCACCCACGCGTCAGCCGCATCAACCTCCTAACCCTCCCTCCGACTCCGTCTCGCTGCGTACAGGGCCAGGCTCGACCGCGGCATGCCCGTTGTTTACGCCAAAGCACACCCCCACACCAGCGAAGACCATGGCCATGGAATCAAAGTCCTCGCTCAGATCGGTCCCAATCCCCATCTCGTTAAAGTCATCGGCGCATGCCCAGCCACCGGTGAACTCGTTACCCAAGCAAGTCCTCCTCATGTCTCATCATCTCAGCCCAAGCCCATTCGGGGGCCGGTACCGCCAGCGTGGCGTGACGGTCTGGTACATCAATCAAAGCTCACCCAAAACGTGCCTCGTAGTACTACCCGCGTGGCAGCGCCAACAAGCTGGACATTGATGCTCTTTCTCTTCCCCAGCGCTGGCGCCTTGGCCAAGTACGAATCAGTCTTGGCTTCCTCTCCCGTCACTGGTCCACACGGTCCTCTCAGTCTCGTCAACATCAAACACCCCACCACCCCATTTTGCATCGATAGTCCTATCTCGATGCAGTGGCGATGCTGCATACCCATCCCGAGGGACCTTGGGTCTTGTGTGATGCCAACGACCTCCACAAATTGCTCTCACAGGTCTCGATTCTTCTGCTCGGCCCGCTTCCGTCCCAGCCTCCCCTCTCGTCCTCGCTCCAAATCAGCACACACGGCCCTGATAATCCACGCGGGTTCATCAACTTTAGTTTTTGGTTCAGGACAACGGGTACACGCTCGTGCTCAACGACGTTGATGCCGTCCCTTCCTGTGGTCAAGGTCCCATCAAATGTGGACATCGCCAGCTACACAGCAACGGTTTTATCGGTGCGCCCTTTCTCAGCCGTGCATCTGAAGCGGCGTAACACGGCTTTGACTCACAAAGTGCCCCTTGCAACACGCATCTCGCACGAAACACGACCCCTTGTCCCTCAATTACATATCATCAGCACCCGAGCAAGAGTGGCCCTTTCCCGATCGCCCCTTTGAAGATGTTGACATGCCGGGCTACGATCAAGCCATTGACATGTAAGTCTCCAAACCTTACACCAGCTGGCCGCGCCAATCACGCAAGCCCCAGGCTCATGCGACGTCTCCTACCATCTCGCCACCCGAATCCCTCATGTAGCTGGCGAACGCCCGTCGTCCTGGCTTTTTTCATGGGCTGCGACACCCAACCCATGCTGGCCACCTCTTGCCCTGCTGCCGCACTTTGCCCACCGATTTGCCCCTCTGCCGTTCCCGACGCCATCACCTTACTCCTTCAGGGCCTCACCTACTTGGCCCGCCAACACGATCCCAAGCGCCGTCCCTCCGTCACACAGGTGCAGGCCCTTTGGGCCCAAGTCCAAACTACGCTGGTTGCCTTGGGCATCACATCATGACGTCAACCTGATAAGCCACCCTGCCCTCTTTGTTGACGTCTGTCACGTCCGGATCGAGCTAATAAGTAGAGGGTGCTTGGTGAGAATTTGAATTCTGATTCAAAGGCGTGGAGTTTCTTCAAGAGCCCACAGACTAAGCTGTGCCCGGCCCGTGTCACTAGTGCATTACGCGGGGGTGGGCCAAGGGAAGTCAAAGAAGAGAGAGAAAGAGAAAAGGAGGAAGGGGGAAGAGGGAGAGTGTGTGTAGACAAGTTGAACCCCCTCCCCGGCCTGAAGCCGAAGGAAAGGGTGAAAATGGGTAAAAGAACTGGTAAAAGAACCTGCCTTGGACTTTGCGGAGAGGGACACAGCATCAACTCCAGCAGGCTGACAAGCACAACGATCACGCGGCAAACTCATGTAGACAGATGGACCACGCGCAAACCAGGCGCGTGGCTTGGACAACGGCGCAAGCTCAAAAGATCAGCCAGTGCCACGACATTGGATGATACAAGGGAAACAAGAAGAGGTAAAAGAAAAGCATTCAGCACAACAAAAAGAAGCGGGGGTTGAAGCGGGTGGGGGCAACCAGGAAAGGATACAAGTGGATGGTGTGTCTCGAAGTAAACGTATGCCAAGCCCATCACAAACACTCAACGAAAACAGGCAAGTAGGCCTACACGTGCTCTGGTTCATTTACCGCACTGTGCCCTACATGGGGGGGTCAAACCAGCTGTGGCGGCAGCAGTGCTCATGCATCAGAGCTACGCGCCGTGTTAGATGCGTACTGAATGCGACCCTTGAAGCTGACATCCGTGGGCGGCGCCGCCGACACGTCAGCAAAGCTGTTTCGAAAGCGCGCGGCGAAACCAGAGCCCGCACGACCTCCCGTCCGAGAGGGTGGTGGTGGGGGTGCTACTCCAGGCCCCTTGCCTGACACGGGAAGAACAGCAAAACGAAGGCACAGGGTGAGGCCACGCACTTGTACGAG